CTGCTAATCCAAGCTACCGGGAGGCTGAGGCTGGCGGATCGTTTGAGCTCAGGAGCTCTGAGCTGCCAGCGGACTGTGCCGATCGGGTGTCCGCACTAAGGTCGGTATCGATATGGTGCTCCTGGGGGGAGCCGGGACCACCAGGTCGTCTAAGGAGGGGTGCACCGGCCCAGGTCGGAAACGGAGCAGGTCAAAGCCCCCGTGCCGCTCAGTAGTTGGGATCGCGCCTGTGAATAGACGCTGTAGTGCAGCCTGAGTAATACAGCGGGACCCAGTCTTTTTACACTCTTTCTACTGTTCAACAAACTGCTGCACAACACACACGCTGCCTCCACAACGACCTCTTTATATGGTACCGCTGCTTCTGGAGCTTCTGGGTCCCATTCAGAACCTCCACAAACCGGTTCTGTCTGTCGGTGCTACAGCGACTCCACCTGGAGGAGAGGAGCAAGGACCAACACGGAGACAGTGGAGCCACATTAGGGGGCCGCCAAAGCTTCATGATTGTTTCAAATACACAATACAGACAGAGAGCTGAATAAAAAGCTCTGGAAACGGTAAATAATCTGCTCACAATGAATCCAAATCACTCGTTTTACACAAACTTCTCTCAGTCACTGAGTTCATTATTTGGGTCCATTGAACAGTTTGAATATATGACACTTAAGCAGCAGTTGTGCGAACTGACTCCTCCTCACTGTGCTTTATGTTATGGATATTGGAGAACAGCTGACAACCCAAATAAACACAATAACTGGAGGAAGTTTGTGTAAGAAGAGAGATTTAGATTCATTTTAAACAGATTATTTCTTGTGAATATTGCATCAGACATGAGTTTTAGTGACTTTTTATACAATTCTCTGTCTGTATTATGTATTTTTTAACACTTTTTACCAACCCTACATAATTATATGCTTCTTTTTTGGGACAAATTCAGTGTTTTATTCTCTCTGGCGCTTGGTCATTGATCTATTAGCTCTTTTCTTTAATGTTTCTAATGCAGGATGAGGAGGTTGTTTATCCGAGAGTGAAGGCTCTGAGAATAAAGCTTGTGTTCAAAGTTTAATCGTAAATAATAATCTAGATTTAAAAAAATAAGTTTTCTTCACAGAAATGAAGAAAATCCTGAGATAAAGGCCTAGTGTGTGTATATTTATACAGTTTTCTTACACCCCCTTAAAATCAAGAAAGCCTCACGAACCCAAGTGTGGGTAAATTACAGATGTGCATTTATATGTTGTCTTGCACATCTGTAATTTATCTTTCAGGACGGTGAGGCTTTCGGGCCAGAGGATGAACGCTGCCAATGTTTATACAGATTAAATAATGAATGAACAGAGACATTTAGCTTTTTTGATTTACTGCAGTTTTGTGTGAAAGCATACAAATGTGTAACAGCTGAATCTAACACACACACACACAGACACACACACAACTATTCCTCAGCGCATTCCTCGTCCATCTGATAGGGTCGTCCGAACAGGCAGGCACTGATCAGCCCACCGCTCATGTTTGAGTGTTTCATGGTCACTCTGCCATCTGCAGCCATTTCCAGATGCTGTGGCTCCTCCACGACGTTCTTGCTGGCCACAACTGACGGGTACACACGTTTGGTTGCAAACTTCCCCTCCAATGTGAAGTCGATCTTAGACTCGGCCTTTACCACTGGCTGTCCACAGGAAGTGAAGTCAGACCCTGCACAGCGGACCAGAGCGCACACCTGCAACAGAGATGTGATAAATGTGAGCAAGAACAATTTAAAAAGCTATTTTAAACAATCCACACTTCCTCTCATTCACACCTGTAGGTTTAAGGATCTGACAATAGTATGTGTTCCAGAAAATGCTGCCAATGCATAGAGCTCTTCGCTGCCTGCTTGTGGTGACCTCTTGTACTGCAGGTGACAGCAAAAGGTGCCATTGCAGACCTTCAAGTCGTCCTCTGTCTTGTTCAAGAGGACAAATGTATATGGGTCATCAATCATGGATACGACAAAGGTGTCGGAGGAGGGAGGGACTGAAGAAGCAATTTCAGGATTAGGGTCGGGAGTATGCTGACAGGCAGAAGTTGCAGCTGTAGGTGATGTGGACTCCTCTGTGGCCGTGCTCTCCCCCCTCCACATTGGGTCTAAGACTGGCACCCTGGCCACCAGGAGCTTGCCCTCCTCTGGGTCTCCTTCCGTGGCGTGGTGGTAGGTGGAAGAAAAAGGGGTGTAGATACCACTTCCTCCTATGTGTTCTTTGTCGAAACGAAGGTTGGCCGAAAGGACGGTGACATTGGCACCCAAGCTGAATCCTCGGTGGAACTGGACTGAGTCCAGTACGGGGGGGAAATTTACCCAGGCTGTGGGGTAGACCAGCTGACGCACACCCTGATCGGGGTCCAAAGAGAGGCGGGTGTTAGGATAAGAGAAGAACAAACACAGAAATGTAGAGTTGGGTACAGAGGCTTTCCTACCTTGTCCAGCAGGACGCCTGTGGGCTTGTGGAACATCATGTCAAAGCAGATCATGATGCCAAACTTTCCAGCAAAAGGTGTATCAAACGTTATGATCTCAGGTTGAGGTGGAACGTCAAAGTACGGCTCCATGTAGAGGTTGTATTTGTGGTAGCGCACCAACAGCTGGCCGTCTGACCTGTATGAAAGAAGATGCTGCGATCAGTTCACATAGACTAGGAAATGATGTATTGATGCATTTTGCTTGACTTGAGCTAAACTACTTCTATTTTAAAGTCTACACTTCACTTGAAAACCACGTTGGTGTTGAACTTCCAGCGTCCATCAGCAGGACAGGAGGAGGTGGGGTCGGTCTTCAGGGGGCAGGGCTGCATGTCACCCATGTTGGCCACCAGGTAGAGGTTGTTGCTGCGGGCCATACAGCTCAACCTCTGGAGAACCTGTGAAACACAACCACATTCAAATGTGATTTATAGTCACAGACTAATGTTGCATTATTGAAGGCTCTTGGCACCCTGGTGGTGTCTCCAGGTCAGTGTATAATGTCAGAATGCCTGCTCAATAACAACATCTACTCTAAAAGTACGAGTGTGCACCTCTGTGTTGCTGTATTTGCCCGGCTCCAAGCAGGGGTTCCAGCTCTCCTGCTGGGGGTCAGGAATGGTTTCTAGGTAGCTAGAGACGGACGAACGGTCGAAGTAGAAACCACTCAGACCATATTCTGGAAACACCAGGATCTGGACACCCTGACCGAGGAAAGATGAGACAGGACACAAGCTTTATTACTCTACTAAACTCATGAACTCTGTGACTTTCTTTGACTTCTTTTTGACTGAAAAACAAAACATTTATAACTCTCTCCTGTTCTGACATACCTGCTTTGCAGCCTCTGCAGCCTGCTGCTCGTAGATATCCAGGTTCTTCTGAATGTGCTGCAAGGCTTCGGACCGGGACACATTAGAGACAGGAGGGACGATTACCTTGTGCTCGTACACAGCAGCAACATACGAGGAGTCCGCGATGGGCCCTGTTAGTACAGGGGCTGACATTAAAGAACAAACGGCAACCAGAAGAAACACTGTTTCTTTAGTGAGAGACATGACTGGTGCAAACCCAGTCCAACTTGAGACAGAGACTAGGACCATGTTCATCCCTATTTATACATTACCACACAACACTATTTGGCAACTTCTTATCACCTCTAAATAAACAGAAAACTCAAACTGAATCCACTCTGGTGTACCTCCTGTCTCAAATTTGGGTGGATTACAGAGCGATTCAGCCAGTTTTCAGTGTGTTCCAGAGGCGTTAAACAAGAGAGTTGGTTTGGTGAGTCAGGTCAATGTTTTACACTTTTTCACATACATCCACTGGCAGGATCACCGTCCAAAGTTACATTAATGGCCCCCTTCTTTCTCTCTCAATTGTGAAATTCCATTATAGAATAATCTCTCCTTCACTCTAGATAACCAGGGCTACAAACATAAACCAGATGTTGACCGCCAAACAAACTATTATAACAACATGTGGACACATTACCAATCAGATAGAAGGGCCCTCGCAAGACTCACATCAACTAGTCTGAGGACGGCAACAGGGTCTCTCACGTACCGTCCACCATTAAAATTCAAAACACACGCGAGACACACCACTTTAAACCTAAAGTCTTCCACACGGATTGTCTGTGTGCTTTGTTTACGTCTTTCGTCACGAGTGACGTCACGCTGCCTAAAAAAATATGCAAAACCCCGGATGAGCTCGGACGCTCCTCGCGGTGCGGGTGGCGCGCGCCTGTAATCCAAGCTACCGGAGGCTGAGGTTTGCGCGGACTGCGTTGAGATCAAAGGAGCTCTGAGCTGCAGCGGACTGTGCCGATCGGGGTGTCCGCACTTAAGTTCGGGATCGAGTATTGTGCTCCTGGGGGAGCCCGGACCACCCAGTCGTCTAGAGGGGGTGCACCCGGCCCAGGTCGGAAACGGAGCAGGCAAAGGCCCCCGTGGCGGCTCAGTAGTGGGGATCGCGCCCCTGTGAATAAGGACCGCTGTAGTCAAGCCTGGAGTAATACACGCGGGACCCAAGTCTCTTTTCTACCACTCTTTCTACTGTTCAACAAAACTGCTGCACGAACACCACACGCTGCCTCCACAACGACCTCTTATATCGGTCACCGCTGCTTCTGGGCTTCTGGGTTCCCATTCAGAACCCCACAAACCGGTTCTGTCTGTCGGGTGCTACAGCGACTCCACCTGGAGGGAGAGGGAGCAAGGACCAACAACGGAGACAGTGGACCACATGTAGGGGGGGCCGCCAAAGCTTCTATGATTGTTTCAAATACACAAGTACAGACAGAGAGCTGAATAACAAAGCTCTGGAAACGGTAAATAATCTGCTCACAAGAATCCAAATCACCTCGTTTTACACAAACTTCTCTCAGCTCACTGGTCATTCATTTTGGGGTCCATTGAAACGCAGTTTGAATATTAGGACCACTTAAGCAGCAGTTTGTGGCGAACTGACTCCTTCCTCACTTGTGCCTTTATGTTATGCGATATTGGGAGAACAGCTGACAACCCAAATAAACACAATTAACTGCGGAGGAAGTTTGTGTAAGAAGGAGGACGATTTAGATTCATTTAAACAGCATCTTATTTCTTTGGTTGAAATTGCATCAGACATGAGTTTTTAGTGGACTTTTTATACAATTCTCTTCGCTTATTTTATGCTATGTTTTTAACACTTCTTACAACCCTACATACATCATATTATCGCTTCTTTTTTGGGGGACAAATTCAGTGTTTATTCTCTCATGGCCCGCTTTGCGTCATTGATCCTATTAGCTCTTTCTTTAATGTTGTCTAAGCAGGGATGATTGGACGCGTTTGGTTTATCCCGAGAGTGAAGCTCTGAGAATAAAGCTTGTGGTTCGAAAGTTTTAATCGGGTAAATGAATAATCTCAGACTTAAAAAAATCCTTTAAATAAAAGACTTTTTTTAACAATGCCTACCACACTTATAGGCCTTTTATTAAAGTTTGTAAATCTTTTGTCTACACAACTCAAATTCATAGGATAACATTAAAAAAAGAAAAGAACGAATAATGAATAATAAAGCAGGTTTATATGTACTAGTATACCATTATTATGTCTTTATTATGCATAGTATAAAATTATATCATAAAAACATTTACAGGGAGACACACCCCAGGAAATAATTCTGCAGTGGTATCTTTTGACATATTTTTTTTTTATAATTATTTTTTAAACATATTAAAGTATAATTTATTTAAAAAAAAATCACGGCCTGTGAATGTACTACTGTATATATGTTTATTTATGCTTATATATTTATAGCTTCTTATTTTTTACCAACCGTGTTGCCTCGTCCCGGGCCCCCACAACTCATATGTGATCTGGTCAATACGATCCTCGATATGCCCCCCCTCCCCCCCTCCCCCCTTCCCCCCTCTAGTGTCCCGAGCCAGCTCGTCCACTCGATATTAATGTGTTTGCCGGGGTCGGTCTCAGTAACTGACAGTGAGTGTCAGGTCGATTCTCCGGAGCCCGAGGGTGGCACAATGGCGGGACGACTGTCTTGTGTCTCCCTCCGGAGGCCTTCACAGACAACAAACAACAACAACAACAACAACAACAACAACACTGCGGCTGGAGGACCAATGGCGGTGGCTCCGACGTTGAGTCCGAGCCATGGCAACGGCCAGAACGGTAGAGTTTACAACCGGGACGAGGAGGCAGACCGTTGGGAGTCCGTAAAATTTTTAGGGCCCCGCCGGACGGCTCCCTAAATATGGGACGTTAAGGTTGGAAAGGACCTCCATACTTAAAGGCGATCATTTATTTTAAGTTTATTGCGCAGTTTGTCTCGGTTTTATCAAACTCGTATTGGACACCACTTAATGTTTCACCATTACAGAGCACGATAAAAATAAAAAAATTAGGATAGTTGTAATATATTTTACTCGCCAGTGATTTGTTTTGTGTACATAGGGAGTTTTTATTTTTTATTTTTATGGTACTGTGTTCTCCTCAACTGTGAACTGCAAAACGGCCTGGATCAAAATAATGAAGGTCATTTGACTTAACTGGTGGAAAGGCCTTTGATAGCACCCACCTCCTGCGCTGGTTTTGTGTGGTGGCCAGGATTTCTGATACCGGTGCCGGCAGGGGGGTGTTCCAGTGTCGACGGTTGGCAGTGTTTTACCCTTCCTCCTCTTTCTCTTAGACTTACATGCCATAAATTAAACATTAAAACTACCTGTATATTTCGTTATGGTTTATCAGCGCAACGACCAAAAACATCAAAAAAAAAAAACAACACAAAAACACACACAACCAACAAGAAAAGAAAAAACAAAAGAAAAAACAACCAAACACGAAAAACAACCAGAACAACTAAAAAAAACAAAAAAAAAAAAAACAAAAAAAAAAAAACTCCAAAAAAAAAAAAACAAAACAAAAAAAAAAAAAGACAAAAAAAAAAAAAAACAACACAAATCACCGAAACAACGGAACCCAAAACAAGAAAGAAAACAACAACAAAAAAAAAAAAAAACCGCCAAAAAGCAGAGCACAAAAAAAAAACCAAACCGAAAGAAAAAAAACAAAAAACAAAAAAAAAGGAAAAACGAAAGAACAAAGCAAACAAAAACAAAAAAGACAACAAAAAAAAAACAACAAAAGCCAAACGAAAAAAAACGGTAAAAAAGACAACGCAAAGAAAAAAAAAACACCAAAAAAAAAAAACGAAAAAAAAAAAAAAAAAAAAAAACAACACCATCCAAGAGAAGACAAAAAAAAAAAAAAAAAAAAAAAAAAAAAACGAAAAAAACGAAAAGAAAGAAACGTGGCTCCTGCCGCACTTTGCATTCGGACTGCACTTTGGCAAGGTTGCATCGGTGTACAAAGCCTTGGCATAATAAACCGTAGAACAGTTGCTCCACAACCGTTCTTCTCCTGCTTAAGTGACATGCTTTAATGCATATTTCTATATTATAATTCAAAACTGGTTAATTAACCCAAACAGGTGAACTCAGTTAAAAATGGGAGCTGATTTTGGATGATTTTTGAGCAGATTATTTCCTGTTTAGGCAAAACTTTTTATACAATTTCTCTGGTCTGTTTTATGGTATTTTTTTTTACTTTTAATTTTTTAACAATCATACAGATTTATTGGTTCTTTTTTTTTTTGGACAAATTCAGCCCGTTTTTTTTGTGGCCTCCCTTCTTACAGAAGTGAACTAAATGCTGAGATATTGGTCTACTGTGTATATTTTATCATTTGTAATTAAAATCAAGAAGGCCTCGCAACCCCCCCATGAAGCTTTAGCGACCCCTAATGAACACTGAACAAATTAGATTTTAGCCTCTCCTCTCTAACTACTCACTTCACCATTAAATATAATGATTAAAATCCTTCACAAATGTTATTTTTTTGTATTATTGTGTGACTTTTATTTCCAATTTACACATAAAACATCCAGAAACTCATAATATGTTAGTTAAAACACACGTTAGTCGTGTGCTCAGTAACTTCTCTCACTATATTGACTGCATTTTTGATTTTAAATATGACGAGAAGTGTCTCTGTGGCCACATTTAACATATTTGATGCTAAAAACTCTGACTTTGAGTCCTGTTACCACTTTAAAAAGTTTACATTTAATCATCATTTTGCCTTTCTACCATATTTTTCAGGAATACCAACAGATGAAGAACAGGCCACTGGACTGGAGCGGCGCGCCCTGCAGGCCCTGAAACGCGGAAAGGTCGGCTATTACACACACGCATACAGTGCCTAAACCCTACATGTGCTAATTTTCTTGCCATTGACATTTCAGGATCCTTACAGTATGCTGAAGCCCAAAGAGTATGCCGGCACCAAGGAGGAGCCTCACATTGTGCCGTGCATTGGAACCAAGAGGCTGGTGGGCTGTCTTTGTAAGTGGTGTACTATTAAAGAGTTAATATCGTTCAGTATTTTTCATTTTGGTTCGCAGTTTAGTTTAGTTTCAGTTTCAGAGTGGGTTTGTTAGTTTGTTTTTTGTTTAAAAATGATTAGTTTTACTTTAGTTTTTATTATTTTCAGGGTTATTTTAGGTTGTTGTTTTAAATTATAATTTGAGGGGCAGGATTTGAAGTTCAGAATAGTTAATACAGTACAAAACAATGACTCACAGTCATTTAGACAACCCAGTCTCAGTTAACACATGCACCAATGCCTCCTCATGATTGACAAATTTGACCAAATTGACTAAAACTAAAGACATTTCCGGTGTATTTCTATTTTATTTTAGTTTTTGTTAGTACAAAACTTGTTTTTCAGTTATCTAAAATGATTTTTCCCACTTAGTTTTAGTTAACTACGATAACCTTGCTGTGTATGGCTGTGTACATTACAAACCAGGTGAATTATATTACAATTCTGTGCAGGTGAGGAAGACAACACTGCTATTGTGTGGTTCTGGCTCCATGAGGGAGATGCCCAGCGCTGTCCTTCCTGTGGTTCCCACTATAAGCTGGTCCACCATGAGCTGCCCCACTGAAACAAAACTTAACACAAGCTCCGGACATCCATAAACTCCAATGTGTACATTATCATTTAACATGTACAGTTTATCATTAAAATATAAACCTGAACTGTCTTCTGAAATCTGTTGTCTGAAATGTACTTGTACTGTGACAAAGGGTGAGTTAAATTATTAAAGCTAAACTTTTAGTGGCGCTATACTCATTGATATGTCATAAAATGAAACACAGTCACAGTTTCAGTGATTATGTTTCGATGCCATAGTAAAATTGTGACCTGACCTATAAGCTGGATCACTTGAAGAGGGCCATCTTAACACAATTCAACATGGTACTATACTGCATCTAAAAAATGATCACGTAAAAGCACCAAACATCCAATAATTGAGAATTAACAACATCAGACAACAGGAGAGTATTTTATCCCCAAAATAACTCGCATTTATTTCAGTGGCTGTACTTTGTTTTTATTTGTGGATTGTTTAAGGCTTACAGCCAAGAAAAAATCCACTCAGGATCTAAAGTAAATGATTCACACTGCTCTCAATCAAATGTTACAACAGAACCAATGTCAAACATAAAGAGAGTTAGTTTACATTGTCTGGGTTCAAACATTTAACACACGGAGGTTGGATACATCATCATTAACTCCTGTAAAATACAGTACGATTAATTGCATCAGCCATGCAGCAACTACTACCACAGTGAAGCTTAACCCTGTCAGAGGTGTCGGTTTAAATCTGGTCGTTTTAAGGGCCACAGTGTTTGGATTATATCTGGTGATAAGAATTTCCACCAGTATAGACTGAACAGAAACATCTACCACATTTTAAGCTTCAGATAAGTGGCGCTACTGCGTTTTATTGCATTTTACAGGTGTTTATGTTGCTGTATGCCTGCCCTGTGTTACCAGTAGTTTGCTTCATCATACTTGTCATATCCAAACATGAATAAAAGCATATCTACAAGAGCAATATCAAATGTGAATGGACTTGTAATAGGGCGTTAAATGCTATGATGGCATGAAAAAAAGCGGAGAAATCAAAGTCAAGATCAATGTGAAAGTCTAGACGTCCAACTCGCAGTCTTTTCTCACCCAGCATTCAATTCCTACAGCAGGCTTCTAAACGTTTGGGAATGTGGTTGCCACCAACAGTTCGCACATGGAGTTCGAGGCATTTCTGTGTACTATCAGGCAAGATTAAAGCCTTGATTGTGATCTATAGCCTGAAGAAGCTTCTCGCGCAGTGTTTCTAGAGTCGTGTACTTGGGCAGATCCAGCAGGTTGAAGCAGGTGTGGGCCACAGGTAAGTAATGCTCCCCTCCACTGGTGGGCTGGATCACCAGCTTCAGGCTTTTCATGCCCAAGATTGGTATGCGGTCACTTCCTGTGAGGAACACTAGAGACAAGAGATGTCGTTTTACTCTTCAATTCACCTTTCCAAAACCAAATTTTTTTAAATAATTCATGCATGGTGGGCAGCATTTACACAAAAACTGTTTTTTCTTCTCTAAAGGAAGATCGTGGAACACCTCCCAGAAGAGCCTGATGGTGGGATGGTCTGTCCAGTACTCCCCTTTGTATTCAGTACTCTGCAGGGTGGAGACAGAAGTTATTAGTACAGAATTACTCAGCAGACTTTTAACAAATGATGTGTATAAATATAACATATTTCCATCAACCGTTATTTGATACAAGACCTTTTGGAGCTCCGTCCAGTCATAGTTAGTGTTGCCAATGACCATGGCTTGCAGTTCGTTTGGCTGGAACAGCTCGAGGACTTTTCCACCGCACACTTTGTGGAAGCCTGCATAAAAGCACTCAAACAGCGGAGCCACCGATGTGTTGAAAACGTAGTCTACGTATGCACTGACAAAGTCCTGCCTAGGGAAGGAAAAAGGAATTATAAAAGTGAAGACATGTTAAATGTAAAACACACTTCTAAAACTGAAAGAGTTAAGCAAACAATAAAGGAGCTGAGTTACAACTATTTACTGGTTAAAGGAACACTTGAGCAGAGAAACTTTAACACTGATTCTTAAGGAACGTTTGACATTCTGGGAAATGTCCAGGTTCGTGTCTGTCTTAATGAGTGCAGGCCTCTGTTCCTCTGGGCGGACTGTACATTGAGTGAAAGAGGAGGGGCTGCTCGCTGATCTGGCATTTGTGAAATGCATTGCGACTCATAAAATGTGGAATTGTGTTTTAATTAATGTTTTATTGGTCACAGAGTCAGATAACTGAAACAGTATTCATTGACTGCTATTCACTGGATGACCCAGCACAAAAGGGAAGCCTTGATTTCTGATGTCCACTTATACCCACCCACAGCTGGTTTTAACTGGTGAGCTTTAGAGGTGTTTACTTTTGGATAGGTCTGTTTCCCCTCGTTTCCAGTCTTTCTGCTAAGCTAAACTAACTGACTGCTGGCCCCCGCAACATATTTACTGTACAGACATGAGAGGAAGAAAGAAATTTGTACCTGTTTGATTTATTGACATTGATGTCTTCGCCATTAGGTACTAGCTCCAAGACCTCTGTGGCACCATAGTTTTCCTCTGTGATCTGAAAAAAAACAAATAAAAACACATACATATATCACAACTATTTATTTTACAGTGTATAAACCACACTGGAGACACTGTTGTTTGACAATGATCTTACTGTGAAGTTCAAGCAGAAGGTTTCCTCAAGGTCATCCTCTGCGTAGTCCAGTAACAGCTGCAGACTCCTGGTTTACCACAGAAATAGACATATTTAACAATGATTTATTTAATCAGACATTTATTGAGCACTTGTGACGTCGTTAACTCAGCACTCCTTTTTGGTAATATACCTGCAACATTAAAAGATTCAGTTTTAGATGTAGTTAAATACCAAGGCAAACTGACAATCATAAACATGGTAAATGGGAACCTCAGATGACTGTTCCTTGATCTGACCTTCCTACATCTGGCATGAGCTCTTTCAGGTCATCTAGCGTTGGCGTCCTCTTCAGTAGCTTCTTGTAAAGGGCCACAGGGAAGTGCAGCTCCACAATAGTGAGATTGTAGATGGCCAGACCACAGATGACCCCGATGAGGTTGAACAAGTCAATGTCCTCAAATGTCTGCAAGGGACAGTCACTGATTGTCATCAAACATTTCATACAAGGCAGACTGAATGTGTCTCATGCATTTTTATCTAGAAGCAGACAAGATAGGCACGTATATTCCAGTGTAGTTACAAACACAGGTCTTATAAGGGACTAATAAAAACAAGATATGGATGTTTACCCATAAATAATCTACATAGAATAAGAAAATACCTCATTAATGTTTCTCATACTAACGATATGGCATTAAGATGTACCTTTTTGTACATTTTAGACTGCAGTTAAATATAGCCGGTGAAATGTCAGCATCAAACCGAGGTTAATTACATCACAAGTACCTTGTTTGAAAACCAGATGAGCCTGGACTCCTCGTAGTAACGAAACATCCCGTATTTGGGATCCAGCAGCTCTTTCATGATGAGCAGGAAGAACTCCTTTCTCACGCCTCCTGCATCGACCGCCTCCTCTCCCACGAAGATCACCTGCCATGAATGTCACAAACATTAGAACAATGGCTTTTATGTCTTATCAGTGGGCGTCAGAAGCTCACATGCAATGCATCCTGGTACATGTCAGCAAGCAGGAGAACTCAGCTTTCTTGGTCAATATAGCACACACTGAGTAATTTATTTCTTCTGACTATATTTGCCATCAACCCTGATTGGACATCCACATAATAAGTAAACATATTAACCCCCATATGAAGTTGACATAGCAAATATCCATAACTAAGTCCGATAACAACTCTCTTTTTAGCTCCGTTGTGGTTTCCACCAGCTCCCGAGGGCAATATCTGTGTCTTTAGCAGCTACATGCTCCACTAATGTTCACCAGCTAGTTGCTAACTTCCTCTGTGTACTACATGGTGCTGGGAACCATTATGGCAGCTTTTACCTTGAGTGGTTTCTTATAGTCAACATTCTTGGACTTCCTGAGGACTTCCATGGTGTCTCCTACGATATTTTCCCTCCGAACAATGAGGATGAGGCACGGGTTGACAGATTCCACTGCTGGCATGAACATGGAGCTGAAGTTTTGCATCTGTGCCTGGTCCACTGCCATCTGTAAATATAAAAATGATGAATGATGGCAAGTGAAACTAATCGAATGGAGGATATATCAACAAACGGAGAAAGAAACCTTCATTAAGTGATTTACCTGCATCTGTATGACAGCATCAGTCTGAAGCAGTGTGGTCTTCGCTTGGGCATCAAATACAAAGGGATACCTGCATAGAGTCACCACACCATCATGACCCTGAGGATACAGAGGCATACATAAATGGTTCATACAGACACCTAATCACAGACAAATGTAATGGAAGTGAATGTAGAACTGACATCAACAGCAGACTCACCATCGGGTACATCTGCCTCTGAATCCATGTGACGTAATCATTTCTGATGTCTATCAGGTGATCCAACTCATGGATGTAGAATTTATCGTACTGAATGATGTGTCCTGCTCTCTCACTAACCTAAAGCAAAAGGAAAAATGATGTTATCAACAGTTCTTCAAGGCGCTGTATTGTGTGCTGTATGAATTTAACAGCGACAGGTGGTCTAACACAAAGCCATGGATTTCTCACCGTGTGCAGGATCTCCAGGAGTCGGAGGGACGTGTCCAGGAAGCAGGTGAAAATTCTTTGCTCAGCTGAGGGAATGCCCACCTTGTGCATCTGAAGCAGATACACCACCACTTCTTTGTACAACTCGACCAGCCGCTGGAAGACTCTGGGCTCAAACGTAGACCACCAGTTTCCTGACCCAAATCAAATATTTTGTGGAGAACAGAAAAAAAAGAAAAAAAAGAAAGTCAGAGAAACTGTCGCATCACGTGTGCCATAAAAGATAAATGATCTTCTTACCTAGCACCTTCAGTGGAGCCTCTTTCAAGCTGATGAGTGATTTGGCAAACGGGATGGCGATGGTCACGTAATTATTTCGGTCACTGAAGAGAGGACATTCTGGAAGAGTGAGGTAGAGTCTCAAGGCTTCAATGTCTGGAGGAGAGTTGCTTAG